CCACCTCACCTCGGCATTTGCTGGCAGGTGCTGCAGCCTGGCTGGGCCTGGCCTGCTCTAGTCTCAGTTCATGCTGGTGGGTGCTGCAGCCTGGCTGGGCCTGGCCTGCTCTAGTCTCAGTTCATGCTGGTGGGTGCTGCAGCCTAGCCCAGCCCAGCCAGCCCCTGGTCCTGATGCTAATGTGAACTGGCCTGTTCTACTCCCCATTCTGATTTCTCACATCTGCCAGTGGGTGTTAGGAATTGGCCCAGGGTGTTATGAATTGACTGGGCCTGTTCCCAGACCTGACCCACACATATGCTGGCAGGTACTGTAACCTGGCAACTCCCAGTCATGATTCTTGCTCTCACCTTTAGAGACTGCATCCTGACAGAGGAGTTTCCCAAGTTTCTCTGTCAGGTCACCTGCCATTGGCAGATCTTGCACATACCAGTGGGTGCTTGGCCCAGTCTGGCTTGGCCTACCTCCTATCCTAACAGATACAGCAGCCTTGCCCAAACAGCCCCATCCATTCCTGGTTCTTTTTGTTGGGTGCTACTGTCTAGTCACACCTGGTCCACACTCAGATCCAGCTCACATGTGGTTCAGCGGGTGCCAATACCTAGCTCAACCTGCCCTACATCCACTCTGGCTCTTGTGAGCACCACTGGGTGCTGGAGCCCAACCCAGTCTGGCATACCCCAGACTCAGTCCACACCCATGCCAAGGTACAGTGCCGCCATGTCCAACCCAGTTCACCACCCCCATTTCATCTCTTGTGCCCTCCAGTTGGAACCCACAACCCAGCCAGGGTGTTCCCTTAGCTCCCTGACTAGGCCTGCTCACAGTCATACGTCTTGCATGTGCTGGAGGTTTCTCTGTCCCAGCCTGGCATTGCCTATCCTTTTCTTGGCCTTTGCCATTGCATGCTGCAACACTTGTGGGTGTTGCAGCCCAGCCTTGACCAGCATGGCCTGCACTCCATCTTGGCTTCTACACATGCTAGGTTGCTAAGATTTTGGCCCTGCCTATTTCATCAGCCCCCACCCCATCCAACCCTGAACAAGCCCACACCTTTGCTTTCTTGCCCTGTCTAACCAACACACAGGCCTGACTCACATGTTCTGTAGCCAGAGTTACAGCCCACCAGGAAAGTTCCCCAAGTTCTTCCATCTGGGCATTCCTAGACTCAGATCTCACCTGTGCCAGTGGGTGCTAGATTTTTACCCAACACAGTCTGCCCTCTCTGTCTCGTCCTCTGTGTGTGGTGATGGTTGTTGCGGCCAGGCCTGCCCTATACCCCATTCCTGGGTGCACCTATGGTTGCTGCTTCCCACCCAGGCTGTTCCCAACCCCAGTACCCGTGAGTGTCAGAGTGTTCCATGGTCATGCCTAGGTCAGGCTGTCACCAACACCAGCTATTGAGCAAACCAGCAGTTATTGCAGTTCTGCAAGGCTGAGCCCACATATCTCCCACAGAATCTGCCTCCAGACCTGGTTCTCTCACATGCTGGCTAATGTCATGACCCAGCCTAATGTTATCCATTCCTTGTTCTGACACTGCTGTGATCAGACCCTGCCAGTTAGGCCTCCAGCCCTAACTTTACTGTATGCCATTGGATGATGTTTAGTGGTGGTCAGTGCTAACTAACCCAGCTCCCATGTGCGGGGTTGCATCAGTTCTCTAGCTTCCTTCCTCCAAAAAGCTTAACCTCAGCCTCTTGCTTACCTGCAAGTACAGTGGCCTTGTCAGCAGAAGTCATTCCTCACCTGTAAAATACTCCCTCAGTGGTCCTCCCTCCCACACAGCCCAAATCCTCTTCCCTGCTGACTCCATAGCCCCACATCCATGAGTGCATGGACACCCCAACCTGGATTGCTGGTGGGGCGATGTGCTGGCCTGAAGCCCTGCCTGCCCACCTGGGACCCTAAGCCAGTCCCCTGGCACATGTGCTGGCCTGGGATGCTACCCCTCTGCCCAGCTTGTACTCAAGCATATTAATGAGTCCATAAGGCCAGCCCACCAGCACACTAGGCCAGCCCTGGGCCCTAGAATTCCCCCCTCCCCTCGGACCCAAACACCCAAACCCAGGCCTGCTGTACCCTGCCAGGCCCCAGCTCGAGTCCCTAGGCCCCTTGAAGCCGCCACATTGGAAGCAGGGGGCCTAAACCATGCTGTTATATTTAAATTTACATTTTATCAACACAGATCATCTTAAATTGGATTTCAGTTATTGCCCAAGGGACAGTGGAGCAGTAGGGGATAATCTTAAGAGTTATTGTTAATCTTCTTAGGCAATTAAGTATTTGCGAAAAATGATTGGGAATTGGGGTTCTCAGGCTCTTCAAATCCCCAGTAATGCCATTTTGTAACACCACCTGACAAACAAGGAATGTGAAATGTGACAAGCTCTTATGTTCATACACATGTTGTGTACCTGTTGAATTTTTTTTTAATGTCCCTGTCATAAAATCATGTCGTTGGGCCCAGCATGGTAGCCTAGAGGCTGAAGTTCTTGCCTTGAATGTGCTGGGATCCCATATGGGTGCCAGTTCTAATCCTGGCAATCCTGCTTCCCATCGAGCTCCCTGCTTGTGGCCTGGGAGAGTTGAGGATGGCCCAAGGCCTTGGGACCCTGCATCCACATGGGAGTTATAGAAGAGGTGATTAAAACTGACGCCCGGGCCTGGCATGATAGAGTAATGGTTAAGGTCCTTACCTTGAACGCGTTGCGATCCCATGTGGGCGCTGGTTCTGGTCCCGGTGGCTCCACTTCCCATCCAGCTCCCTGCTTGTGGCCTGGGAAAGTAGTTGAGGATGGCCCAAAGCCTTGGGACCCTGCACCCGTGTGAGAGACCTAGAAAGAAGTTCTTGCTCCTGACTTCGGATTGGCATAGCACCACCGTTGTGGTCTCTCCTCCTCTGTGTACATCTGCCTTTCCAAGGAAATAAATAAATCTTTAAAAAAAAAAAAACAACTGACACCCATATGGGACCATATGGGATCCCTGCAGGTTTAAGGTGAAGACTTTAGCCACTAGGCTACTGCACCAGGTCCAAAATACTTGTTTTTAATAAACTCTTGTGCATTAAAACTTTTTAAAATAGAATTTATTTGAAAGGCAAAGCGATAGATACAGAAACAAAGAGAGCTGCCACATCATCTGGTTTACTCCTTTACTGCCTGCAGTGGCTGAGACTGGGTCAGGCCGAAACTTGGACTGGGAGCTAAATCTAGGTGACCCATGTGGATGGCAGGAACCTGGTTTAGCTGAGCCATCAGCTCTGGTTCCCATGATCTGTATTAAGAGGAAACTGGAATCAGGAACATGCACATCCACCCTAGGCAGTCTGATTTTTTAGGACATAGGCAGGCATGTTTGTTGCTAGGTGAAGTGCCTACTCCTAGATTTTCTTTTCTCATCTTCATAAACTATACTTCATTGAATGGCTCTTGTTTCCTCTTTTTCGGTTTTGAGCCTACCCTATGAATCATTTTTTCTTTTCTCTGAAAAGTAATCCACATATGCTATTGCATGGTTTTCCAGCTTGTTGGCTTGTTAGTAGAAATTTGAGGGCCCAAAGGCATCTTTCATTTTGTACTATCTCTGAACCTTTTAATATAAGCCTACAATTTTCTTTTAAATTAAAATTTTAAGAATCCTGTTAACATTATTTGGATTCCTGCCATTAGGCAGTAGCTACACCCAGGAATCTCTTCTGGGTAATGTGTGCCTTGGTATGCTTGTGTTTGAGTTCAGGTTCTAATTCTTAGTACGTATTTCAACCTTATGCTGAATGATTTCACACTGGAACAGAGTCTGGCTTAAATCAGTGATTGGCTGCCTTGTAAGAGAGGAATTTAAAGACATCAAAGATACTGGGAAGAAAGTTATATGAAGTTGATAACAGATGTTGGGATGATAATGTCTACAGACCAAGGAATGGTAAGGATTATTGACAACCACTAGACCTAGGAAAGGCATGGAACAGCTTTTTTTCCTCAGGGCCTTCAGTAGAAACTTACCAAACTAAACACTTTGCCCTGGATTTAATGTTCGCTTGAAATCTAACCCTGTCCTTCATTTTAGTGTCCTTTATGGTCTAGAGACTGTGGGAATTCTCAGAATTGTAACAGGCGTATACTCCTAACTCCTTGTTTAACCCTACTTCCTTTATCCCTGTCCTCTTGCCTTCCATGTCAAAAGCTATCTTCAGTACTGAGCATATCTTTAGCTAGATCACTATCCAGAGTGTGAACTACAACTTTACTTTCCACATGGTAGTGAACAGTGTTCGCCAGTGTAACTAGGATCTCTTGATCTAATAAGATTTTTCCCAACAATCTTAAAACTTTTACCTGTAACTTCCTCTAAGGCTTTCATCATATCTCCTCTCCTCTCCTCTCCTCTCCTCCCCTCCCCTCCCCTCCCCTCCCCTCCCCTGCCCTCCCCTCTATTTTATTTTATTTTATTTTATTTTATTTTATTTTATTTTATTTTATTTTATTTTATTTTATTTTATTTTATTTTATTTTATTTTATTTTATTTCTTTCCTAAAGATCTATTTATTTTTATTGGAAAGGTGGATATACAGAGAGGAGCAGACACAGAGGGGGAGATCTATCCAATGATTCACTCTCCAGGCGGCCACAACGGCCGGAGTTGAGCCAATCCAAAGCCAGGAGCCTGGAGCTTTCCCCAGGTCTCCTATGTGGATGCAGGGTCCTAAAGCTTTGGGCCATCCTCCACTGCTTTCCCAGGCTGCAGGCAGGGAGCTGGATGGGAAATGGGGCTGCCGGGATTAGAATCAGCACCCACCTGGGAATCCTGGCGCATTCAAAGTGAGGACCTTAGCTGCTAGGCCACCACGCCAGGCCCCAGCCAACTGCTTTTTAGTGCTACCTGTGTAATAGTGAAAAGCCATTGTAGTTTGGGGAGGTAGTTGATTAGTCAGCCATGATATTTGTAGTATTTTGTTGGTCTGTTGACTTATCTCAATTTTTTTCTCCTCTAACAGAATAATACAGCAGATCTTTGCAGGATTCCTTGCAAACTCTGCAATTCCTGGATCCCCACACCCTTTTTCCTGGTGAGTAACTAATTACTTTCTATCTTACTGTGACAGAGTAGCATCATTTTAGGTGCCGTAGTTTCTGTACAGTCGAGAACAAAGCGAAGAACTGCATAGTTGAGTGTGTAGATGTGCCTGGAAGACTACTAGACTATTATTGTCTGCTGAGCTCAAACTTAATTTCTTTATTGTTCAGATTCAGGAGAGCTATCCTGGTCTCTCAAGATATTTGGCCTTTTATGTTCTTGGTCTAAGGGTTGTGTTGAGTGATCCCTGCCAAGCTTGGTATCTGATTGGTGTGTTTCCCTTCTGTACCTGAAGATTTTATTCCTTAAGGCTTTCTACAAATGAAAACATCTGTTTTCCTTAAAAGTAAGGGTTTTCACAAGAAACAAGTGGCTATAATTTAGTGTCAGTGACACTTGTGCATGATAGGCCCTAAAGAAGGAATTTCTTCTTGTCTGGACAATTATTTGCCACCTCAAACTCTGTCCCAGGAGACTTCCTTGCTCCAAGAGACCTCAGTCCTTCCCCACACCCTGTTTTCCCACCTAAGCTCGGTCCTCCATCACTTCAGGTATTGCACCAACAGCTCCAAAAAGTGGTGCTATCTGGTTGCTTTTGGAATGTTTTAGGCTGTGATTAGAGAGACTGCTCCTGCTGCTTCCCTGCCAGAAAGCTCCTACTCCACAATTGTGGGCAGCTGCTTGGAACGAGGGAAGTTTGCTATAGATTTTGGCCCATCGTGAAGAGAAAACTCTCCTTAAAAAGCAGCTCCATTTCTGTTTAGTGTAAGAGAACAGAAAATACAGACTTCCCGTAACCAATAGGCAATGAGTCGCTCTTTTTACTCTTGTCTGTCATATGATACTTCAGGTTACTTCACATTTTGTGTTAAGTAAAAGCTCTAAAGAATGAGAGGCTATCTCTGAATAATCTGATTGACCTTGAAAATATAGAGCAATTCTTTGCCTCCTGATTGGATAGGTATGGTGATTTTCCAGCCTGGAGAGGGAGAGCAGGATATCTCTGCCAGTTTTTTTTCTGTGGTATAAGGCAGAGCCTGGTCACTGCATCTAATGCTGTCTGTCTCATCTCATGTATAGGAGCGGGATGCTGCACTCCAACCCTGGGGACTATGCCTGGGGTCAGACAGGGCTTGATGCCATTGTAACCCAGGTGAGGAGCTGCCTTTTGAGGGTGTCTGTTCAGTGTGTCTCATGGTTCCACAGGCTTCCTGCTTTCCTTCTGCTACTTTCTGAAATGGCAGTCACTCTGCTTTCTCTAACATGTTAAGTTTTGGGTTCTCATTTTAGTAAAAAGAGAAATGGTTTATGGGTTTAGCTCAGCATCATGCGCTTATCTCCTAAATCCAAGAGGATTTCTAGAAGATGGTTTCACCTCCATAGGAAGCAAAGACTTTGAATGTAACAAATGATCTATTGTATTTTGGGCTTCTTGTTAGTCTTGTGGAGGATCCTTTTAACAAGTACGTCACAAAAAAAGGATGGTCTTTTTACATGTTGAAGCAGGAATTTCTGCTAGGTGGAGCAAAGTAGGGGAAGGAAGCAGAGAAAAAGGTGTTCCCATACATACTATGTAAAATTGCTTCTACTTGTTTTTGTTCATTTTAATTTGATTGGTTTTTCATTTCCCTTGTGGATTGCTGAGACGAGAAAGCATGTCATTTATATCCAAGTCTTCTTTTAGGTAATGGTTCACCTGTTTCTTGGCTTACTTTATCCTATTTTCTATACTCTCACCCATTTTTTCCTTCCAGCAGAATGAAGTTTTTGGACCAGTTAAGTATTGCTTTTTTTGACTGGGTGCTCCAGTGGCACAATTGGTTAGCACACGGTACTTACAAGTATTACCTTTTATTAAGCTGCAGTTTTATTTATAATACCACACCTTTTGACTAGCCCTAAAGTTGCTTTATACCCTAAAATGGATGTTATAATCATGTCTGTAGGCTTATACTAATGTCATTCTGAGATTGCAAAGCAATTGTAAGTGTTCTGGCAGCAGGCAGAGGGGACCCCAAGATTGTCAAGAGCCTCGTGGAAGTCAGCAACTAACATTTCTAATAACAGCACTGTTTGTTCTCAGCTGGAGCAGTTCCCTCTCTGGGATGTTGAGATGTCTTCCACTTCTTTTCTCTTTGTTTTTCTTTTCTATAGCTTTTAGGACAACTGGAAAACACAGGACCTCCCCCAGCTGACAAGGAAAAGATTTCATCTCTTCCAACAGTGACAGTAACTCAGGAACAAGTCGGTAGGTGTATTTTCACCTTCTGATTCTATCAAAATCCCAATGCCTTCTTATTCTGAGCAACTTCAGATAAAACCTTGTCCTGAAATGTCTACATGGACACCAAATATGGAAGGGTCTACCCCATTTTTTGTTAATCAATGGTTTTTTGAACATTTTCCCTTTTCTGGATGTCATTGAGAGTAAAGAGTTACAGAGATTTAAAAAAATATTGTTTCTAATAAGTTGAAGCACAACTTTTAAAAACAAGTGTTAAAAAAGTGCAAAAAATAGTATTGGACAGGACCCAGCGCAATAGTGTAGTGGTTAAATCCTTGCCTTGTATGTGCCAGGATCCCATATGGGCACCAGTTCATGTCTTGGCTACTTCACTTTCCACAAGCTCCCTGCTTGTGGCCTTGGAAAGCAATAGAGGATGACCCAAAGCCTTTGGACCCAGCACCTATGTGGGAGACCCAGAAGAAGCTCCTGGCTCCTGGCTTCAGATTGGCTCAGCTTGGGCTGATGTGGCCTCTTAGGGAGTGAACCAGCAGACAGAAGATACTTCTCTCTGTAGATCTGTCTCTCCAATAGAATAAGTAAATCTCTTTTAAAAATAATATTGAACAGAGGATACTGATTTTTGACTTTGAAGAATGAGGGAAAATGAAAGACTGGGAATTTGATTGTTCACATCTACTTTGTATCAGCTACTGTTAGGCGTATAAGACATAGATCAGGAATATAAAGTCTGAAGAAAGTTTAGTATTAAGAGACATTATTTTGGACTGGGAGTTTCTTTTTCAAATTCAAATTTAGAGTTAGAGAAGATTTAGAGATGAGATGTACCATCTTAGATCACCTTTTCTTTGGAAAAGTTTGAATTAGTATAGTATCAGCGTAAACCTGGTGTTTGAGCTATGGTGAACATAGAACAATTTTGTTAGACCTGAAAATAGAATCTGTTTTGGAGAGTAGGAGGGGGTATGACTGGATAGGAAGGGTGAGGTCTTGTCATAGAGGACCTTAAAACGTCAAGAGACATTAGGATTAGATGTTTAGATGGTAGGTAAGTTTTATAGGTCCCCAAGCCAAGGAGTGAGAGAATTGACGTGGTCTAGAGGGAAGGTTAGTCCACAGGTAATGTGTAAAACAGATTGGGAAGAGGAGGGAGCAGAAACAAGGATTTAAGAATCTCTTACAGCAGTCTAGGGTACATCAGTTTGGAACAACAGATGGTTCTAGTCCTCACAGAAAGGAAAGGGAAGGTCCAAAAGTTAGCTTTGTTCACCAGTTGTCTAATAGGATGAAGGAGGGGAAAGGGTCAGTGATTCTTCAAAGATTTTGTGACTTTGTAATTGTGGAAATGGTGCTGCCATCATCAAGGGAACGGAATAGTGAACGGGCCTGGGTTTGAGTAAGGGGATGATGTGATAGTTTTTATTTGATTTTGAAGTACCAGCTGACAATCCAAGTGAACGCGAGCAGGGTATTGCTGTGAAGCTGGCTTTAAAGCAAGCTAAGTGGTAGCCAAGAGTAGTTCAAAGTGTAGAGTTCAAGGTATTGTTGCAGTGGAGTAGACATGAGAAAGCGGAAGCTACAATTAGGGTGAAGGTGGGAATCTGAGGAAGGAAGGACTGTTCCAAATCCCTTAATCACTATTCGGGCATGGAACACATACCAGCAGTAAAGGAGCTAGACTAGCTGGTATAATCTGTTAGCCGAACTCAGACTGAGACTATAGTTTATGACCATTTGCTCCCCGAAGAGGGGCGTGAGCTATAGTTCTACATTGAAAAGTGAGCCTTTTTAGTTATTATCTAGGCCTTATTGGAGAAAGCTCCATTTTTCATTCCCCGTTCTCATGTTGCTGTCTGTTTCCACCTATATCCCCCATTTTGAAATACAGTTCACCTTACCTACCCCCTACCTGGATGTAGCTTTTAATTCATCTCTTTTATCTCGTTTTTATGCACTCTTTGGGTTGTTAGAAACCTTGTGTTAGTTTTTTTCATCCTTCTTCTGGCTTGTTTACTTTAAAAGGTGTTTCTTCCTCCGACAGATATGGGTTTAGAATGTCCAGTGTGCAAAGAAGATTACACAGTTAAAGAGGAAGTTCGGCAGTTACCCTGCAATCACTTCTTTCACAGCTGTTGTATTGTGCCATGGTTGGAACTGGTGAGTACTCCCAGCTGTCCTCTCTAGTGACAGTCCTATGAGTCACATCTTCTGAGGGGTGTTATCTAGAGGGAAGGTGTAATTCATGGAGAGCCAGGTGGGTCAGAGTATAGTTCCATAAATCCCTGGCTAACTCCTAGCATCATCTGTTTGGGACTTCCCTGATTAGGACCAGCCAGCTATAGTCTATAGGCCATTGTAACCTGCTGTTTCTGTCAGTAAGATTTTGTTGGAACATGGCTATGCTCAGTTGTTTACAAATTGTCTGTAGCTACTTTTTGCTACATCAGCAGAGATGAGTAGGTATGTGGAGGTGGTGTAGTTGGCAAAGCCTAATATGTTTACTCCTTGTGCCTTGAATGGACTTTAGCTGCTAGGCCATGCCGCCGGACCCCCTGTCCCTTGAATGGAAGAAGGTTGCTATCACCTGCTTTAGACCATATAAAAAGTCGTGTCCTAGCTCAATTCGTTGTTTCTGTTGAGCTGTGTTTGATGGTCTTCGTTGGTGATTAAGTTGCTGGCTTAAAATTCAGATCTGCCTGAAGTTCTGTTTGGGAACTCTTCTGACATTCGGTGAAGCCCCATGTGTACTGTGTGGAAGAACATGCTCTTTTGCCTTTCTAGCTGCCAGGTTATAGTTTTTGATGTGCTGACTCTTGTGATTTCTTAGTGTTCAATACCCCCTAGCTTCTCAGGTCAGACTGTTGACAAGCACTGATATCTTTCTGTTACAGCATGACACATGTCCTGTGTGTAGGAAGAGTTTAAACGGTGAAGACTCTACTCGACAACCCCAGAGCTCTGAGGCTTCTGCAGGCAACAGGTTCAGCAGTGACAGCCAGCTACATGACCGATGGACTTTCTGAAACTGAGGAACACATCTGAGCCGGGGCTGTGGTGGTCTGCTTAACCATAGCTGCAGATTGTATCACAAAAAAAAACAATAGATGGATTTAGGAGTCACATAAGAAACCCCAACCCCTATTAATGCAATGAGTGTTTTTCTTCTCTAAATTTAAAGTTAGTATCTACAGTTGAAATTGTGTTTACACCAAATGCCTCTTATTCCTGAATTCAGAGTGATAATTTTCTAAGTGTGAAAATTATGTGGGTTTTCCTTTCCTAAATAGATTCAGTTCCTAGCTAGGGGCCTGCTGCCTGTCATGTCGCCTTGTAATGGATGTTCCTCTTTCCCAACCTCTGCTCCACCATTAGTGTGTTTTATGGAATCAGAACCTTGAAGTCCTACCAATAGAAGGTCCTTTTGTCTTAATTGTACATAGCATTCATTCTTGACCACATTAGATGCAAGGTGAGGTCAGATTAATTCAGGAATCTAGACTGGGTATTTTATTTTGTCTTGATCCTCTGAGAGCAAATCAAAGAAAAATTACAGTAAGAAGGGAAAAGTGGCTTATTATCATACACTTGGGGTCTCATATTAAATTTTAAAGACTTTCAGGAGATACAGTTTTCCCAGGAACTGGCATGATTTAGGAGTCTTAGGTTGGTAGGGATCTGATTCTGGTTCCACCTGGGAATTGAGTTGGATAGCATATAGGTACAGGAAGATATATATGTTTGAAATTCATGGTTTTGAAAATTTAAAAGAAAATGATCCCCAGTCATTGTTTACTATCTTTTTTTCCAAGGACCTTAAAATAATTTCGCTTATAAAAACAGAATTGTCATTATTCCTTTTACAGCTGTTTGTTTTTGGCTGCTCCATGGTCTTTAGAAATTGACATTTTCATTGCCTTAGTTTGATTTTTTTTTAAGCCCATTTTTCATCTCTGAGGCTTTGTAGTTCTGCTTGCTTCTGGCTGTATTTGGAGTAATTGATATTATCATGCCCAGAGCAATTTAACCTGGGGGAGATAGGCTTTATTTTTTTCAGCCTGACAATGTCCCATGCACATGCTTTTTCAAGTATTTGAGTGTTAGGAGTTGAATAAATGAAGAAGATCAAGAATACTGTTGGACCTCCCGAATCTCCGAAGAAAGTGATGGCAACATGTAACAACTACTGATGTCCCAAAAGGGTTGTTAATGCGCAAATGGGCATCATTTGTGTGGTCAGCCCAGCATTACGTGAATTGGAGTGATAGAAGCCAGAATGCCACTTTTTCTCAAGTCTGTTTCTTGGCCAGGAGACTCTCCTTGGTTTTTGTTGACTGTCATACACTGGGTTGGGAACGGGACATGGGGCTTAGTGATATCTTTGTGTTTTGACAGTGAATGAAGGTATCGGGGTGGGAGTGTGATTTAGATTGGGCCCAGAGGGAATAAAAGATGTTTTCTTGTGCACCTGCTCTCATACAATAACTCTGACAGTTTCGGGGGGGAAAGAGATCTGTTTATATGTCTAGCCCATGAAATGTGCCCTGATAATACACACTGGTTTCAAAATTAGGGGTGAAAAGAAGAGAGAGGTGAGACATTATGGGGATGTGTGAACATGCAGTTGTCTTTTTGGTTGAAACTCAGGAAGGGGCAAACTAGTGTCTAGGGAACTAGAGAGGATCTGAGAACTTCGTAAAGGATAGAAACAGAAGGTTAGATAGGGATCAGCCTTGTTAGTGCAGTGTGTAGCAAAGAGCAACAGATTTAAGTTATCTGGAATTTTCCCCATTGTTTTTGCTCTCACGGCAGATAAAGGACACATTTCATTTTGTTGTTTCCCAGACTTACTGAATCTGCAGGGTTTCTTACTCCAGTGAAAAGCATCTTAGACTTCTAGATTAAGGAGTTTGTGTTTTTCACAGAAACAGAATGTAGAAGAAATTCACTCACACAGTAATGAAGGCTGAGACATCCTGAGATCTATATGGGTCAGCTGGAAACCCAGCGAAGCTGCTGGTACAGTTGCAGTCCAAGGCTGAAGGTCTGAGCACCAGCAGGGCCCATCGTATAAGTTCTAGACTGCAAGCCAGCAGGCTGGCAACGCAAGCAGAGCTGACGTTTCCAGTCAGAAGGCAGCAGAGAGGTGGACGTCTCCACTCACACCATCAGGTAGGAGGAGTCCCTCTTACTCCCAAAAGAAGGCCCAGCTTTGTGTTCTAATCAGGCCTGCAGCTGAATGAGAGAAAGCCACCCATGTTAGGGAAGTCTGCTTCATCCAGGCATACTGATTCGTCATCCCGGACACACCCAGAGTAATGTTTAACCAAAAACCGGGCATCCCATGACTCAAACTGGCTCATAAAAGTGATCATCGTAAGGAGGAAAAACAAAACTGATGCACACAGAGTGATCCTCATCCCACTTAAGTTTTGCTAAGTTAGCAATGTGTCCCTGTAGAAAATATCTGCCTTGGCTCAGAGGTTTCAGTACTGCATTTAAACGGTTGAAGAAATGTGTGTGGGTCATGGATCAATTTGCTGCAATGCAGTTTGATTTTCCTCCTTTTTAAGAAATATTAGTTTATTTATTTGAATGGCGGAATTATGGGAAGAGAGAATGATCTTTCATCCAGTGATTCTAGGCCAAAGCTAGGAGCCTGAAGTCCCATTCAGGTCTCCCAGAAGGGTAGCAGGGCCCCAAGTACATGGACCATTTTCTGCTGTCTGCACATTAGCCAGGAGCTGGATCAGAAGCACAGCAGTCAGAACTGCTTCTCTCCTTAGCCCAACTTAGCCTGGAAGTCTGAAGCACCTCCTCTTCTAGGAAGAAACATTTCAGATTCAGTAGTCTAGCGCAAGAATATGGCTAGGGTTCAGAATTTAGGAATCCTTTACCCTCAAATGCTTCAAGCACAGCTTAGATATAGTACTCGAGGCAGAGGGCTAGATAACTGGAACTGTTGAGGTGTTCAGTCCTTCACAGCCAATAGGCTTACTTAGGAATCTTGAGCTTTTGCAAGAGCCACAAGAGGGAAATTAGCCTTCCCTGATTGTTAGAGGGGAGAACTGGTGATTTCAAGCCTTAGTGTGAACTTTTGACCCTTACATTCATATTAAATGGCATACGCTTTGAAGTGCATGAATAGACTGTATTGTTAATTCTAAATGTCTTCCTTTTTGTTGCCCTGCACACACACACACACACACACACACACACACACACACACACACACACACACTGATAACAATTTGAAACAAAGGAAAACAATCATTTGGTTATGCATAATTAAGAAAGATCTCTTAAGAGATGAGTAGAATTGGAAGTTGAGAAGCTTTATGCCAGAGCCTTTCTGTCACACCAATAGCTAGTCTTTCTCTGGTACTTCCCAGATAGGTTTTCCAAACCCATCTGTACTGGAGTTCAGCTGCAGAGAACTGCAGAATTGGGGAAAAGACAGAAGTGGAGATATAGCTGGTACCTCCAGCATCTTCAAAAGTTTCAGAGCTTATGAGTTGGAAGAACACAGAAGAAATAATCCTGCCATTAAAAAATGTTTTTCCTTGAAGTTCTCATCGCAGGTTCTCTGCATAAAGAAATGCAGGGACTCTAAAATGACGTTTTGCCTCTTGCCATGCTCCTTGACTCTTTTCTTATAACATTGTTTTATTAAAAGTAGTTAAGGGGTATAGACATGGCTTTTACTTATTTATTAAGCTTTATGTTGAAAGAGATTTTTTTACCCACTGGTTCACTCCTCAGATACCCTCAATGGGTCTAGAAGCCTAGCACTCCATCCAGGTCTCCCATATGGGTGGCAGCAGCCCGAGCTCTTGAGTCATCTTTCAGTGCTTTTCCAAGCATGCTGGCAGGGAACCAGATAGGAAGTGGAGCAGCCAGGACTCAAACTAGCGCTCATATGCGCAGGCATCATGTGACTGTGCTGTACCACAGGCCCAAGTCCAATGGCTGTTAATTAAAGAACTTTGTTCATCATAAAGTTTGTCAAAAATTGCTGTACAGGAGTTGAGCGTGTGCTTTTAGAATATGTTCTTTGAGGAGTACTGTACTCTAATAATTGGTCTTTCAAACTAGAAAGAAACTTCTGGGAGAAGAACTTTTTTCTCCAGCGAGTCTCACTTTGATTAAATGCGGTGCTATTCTGTTTTCATGAAATACACCAATCTTAACAAAATCAGCAGAGGATAACCTGTGTCCGGTCTAAATGACCAAACAGCTGGTCAAGGCAGGCTGCTGATGTCGGAAGGAAGATAAGTTTCAGGAAGAAAAGGGGCAAGACCTGGTATTCCAGGTATTTGAATGTTAGGGAAAGCCTGTGTGACCTCTCTGATCTTGCTGCTTACAAGGCTATCCTTTGGGAATTTGTGGTGACTAGTAGATGAGAACTCCCACTGAGTTTCTGAAGAGATGCCCACATGTTCTGATGCAGGGAGTTGGAGGAAAGTGTCACCTTGGGGGTAAATCCTAGCTTGGGGTATATAATGTCAGTGTTTTAGCTGTCCGTCTCTGCTGATTCACTCCCAAATGGCCACCGTGGCACAGCCTGGCCTAGGCAGAAGCAAGAGCCAGAAACATGATCAGGTCTCCAGCTTGGGTAGCAGAGGCCCAAGTACTTAAGCCATTTTCCACTGCTTTTCCAGGCGCACTAGCAGGAAGCCAGGGATCACAAGAGGAGGCTTAACTCGCTACTACTACTACTTTTACCTCTTTGTTTAAAAAATTGATTTTTTTTCCAAAGGCAGAGAGTTACAGAGAGAAAGAGAGGTCTTCCATCGGCTAGTTCACTGCCCAGCTGGCTGGATCTGAGACAGGCTGAAGCCAGGAGTCTGGAAGTCCATCTGGGTCTCCCACATGGTGGCAGGGGCCCAAGCACTAGGGCCATCTTCTGCTGCCTTCCCAGGTGCATTGCCGGGGAGCTGGTTTGGAAGCGGAGCAACTGGGACTTGAACCAGCTCCCATAGGGGATGCCAGAATGACAGGTGGCAGCTTGACACTTTATGCCACATTGCCAGTCCCCCCATTTATTTTTTTCTTAAGATTTATGCCCATTCAAGTCTTTAAATATTTAGTTTTTTACTTACTTTAAGGACAGAGTTATTGAGAGGGACAGACAGGTCTCCCATCCACTGGCTTAATTCCCTAAATGGCCACCATTGCCAGGAATGTCAGGATAAAGTCAGGAGCCTGGCGCTTCTGTGTCTCCCCAGCGGCTACAGGGCCCAAGCATGTGGGCCATTCTTTTTTCCCGTGGGTACCAGCGGAGAACTGGATTGGAAGTAGAGGAGCCAGGTCTTGAACCACCACCCATATGGGATACTGATGTTGCAGACAACAGCTTATCCTGTAGTGCTACAATACTGGCCTCCTGTTCAACTCTTTAATACTTTATCCATTTAAATTTCATGTTTTCAGAATATTGAAAAGTAAAATGTACAAGACCTATCTAACCATGTTTGGGTGAGATTTAATTAGAAACGATCTATAGGCAGAGAAAAGCTTTGGAGAGTTTAAGGTCAGAATTCACATGGCTCTGGTTTCTCCACCCAGAATCTCATTTGACCTTCAGAACCGTCCTGTGGAAACAAAGCAGTAGGCGATAGTGTGCTTCACTGATGAACAGGTAGCATCTGAAGGTGCGGTTTTCCCAAGGACATAAAACTGGTACATTGCAGACCAAAATTGGAAGTCCATCTGTTCAGCCTTCTCTCTCTCAATTTCCACAACCTAAGCCTCCTTCATTTAATCCTTGCCAAGGAGCACAGGTAAGACATCTGTTTGTTTTGGCGGCCTGCCAGTTAGCTGCACCCAAAGCTCCTGTGTTCCTGCATCTTGATTCATGTAACGGGCTCTGTTGTGAATAACCTGTCCCTTCTCCATGTTAGTATGACAGGAGGGCATCTATAGAGAGAAAGGAGGTTGTGTGAGTTTAGGAGTAGAGACTGATGTGAGCATTTATTTAAGAAAAGGACAAAGGACCAGAGGGGGTTGGTGAGTTGAAGCAGTTAAGGGGAATGTGCCCCGCTTCTGGCCTGCACAGGTCTTTCCGCAGTGCGTGTGGGTGCTGTTGAACACCCACGTCTTGATTTCCTCACTTTCATGCCAAGTCAGTCACTGGCTCTGGTGCTCTTTATCTCCTCCCTGTGTCTGCCTGTTTCCTCTCTCTTTATAGTGTTAATAAAATTTCAAAAAAAAAAAAATCAATGTTTTCATCGTGTTTGACTTATTTTACTTGATTGAAAGGCATAGGGAAGAGGCAGAGTTCTGCAGACGCTTGTTTGGTTCTTGGGCCCCTGGCCCGGGGCCACTGCCACAGAAGCTGCAGTGTTTCTTTGCAGAAGGAAGGGGAGTTTGCTTTGGCAGCACAAGGAGAGGGTCTCGGATTTCCAGGAGTCGCCCCACTTTGTGTTCCCTTCAGACTTGGCATATATAATGTCTCATGCTCTCTGTCTTCTGTTCATATCATGCTAGAAAAAGACCCCCAAGCTGTGAAAAGAAAAAAGTTTGTGTTATGGCTTCACAATTTGAAAAGCAGCAAAATACCTGATGTCACACGGAGGCTGGCCTCTCCCGGGCTGTGTGTGTGATAGGCCCACAGGACTGGAGGAGTGGAAGAGGAAAAGCAGGAACAGGTTATAAGTGTTGTGTCTGACTGGCTGAAGCGGCGGTTGTAATCCCAGGCCATCAGATACTGACGGGAGCGGAGACAACCCCAGGTGCCTCCTTGCTGCAAGGCTGGACGAAGACGAAACACGCCGCTCAAAAAGCCCAAGGTAGGTTTCCCTCTGTAACGCTGTATTGGCGTAGTGAGTCCAACCTGTTCTGTGAGATCAGCTTCCAGGAGCTGAGGGAAGCGTAGCAGTCCGGGATACTCCCTGATTTATGCGAAAATGTGATTTTCCTTCTGGGCCTGAGAAACATGGAATTGCTACTTGGCAGCACTACCTATGTAACCTTGAGTTGCAAGAAAAGAAAGGCAGCTCCTCCTGAGAACTGCTTAATCAAGTCCTTAGCTTTGATTTTGTTTAAATACAGGAAAAAACAAATAATTGGAGTCAAAAGTTCATTTTTTTTTTTTTTTTGGCCTAACTGGAAGAGAGGAAAGAACTCAGGTTTTGTTTTTTGGTAGAATTTCTTGGGAGTCAAATTTGGTTACAGGTAGCCAGCAGGTTGTGTGGCTAGTCCCAGGCTGCTCTGTTAAGGGTTTTCACTAGAGATGGCCAAGCAAAATTTATTTTACTGAAAACATAGTAGCATAACCATCTAAAGGAGTTTAGATTTAGTGAGGGGGGTGGGGAGGAGACCTTGATATTCTTGTTTTCTCCCACAAAGTAGCATAGTTTCACCTTGACAGGTCCAGATCAGGATGCTGTTTTCAATGGTTTGCAGGTTGGGGGTCAGGGCAGAGAGTGTTTTGCTAGTCCAGATTCTGAAACCTCAGAATGGGGAGGGTGTGAAAGAGGTTGTATTGGTGCCTGGCCTACTGAGTGTGTGACTGGGAATATGAAGTTTTAGAGTGAGAAGGACTGTATTCTTGTGAAGCAGGCAGCGTTTTCACTTCCTGGTGCCTGTTTCTTAATGAGTAATGGGGTGAAGGGTTGTTTGTATGTTAGGCATTACATCTGTAAAGTACCTGACTCATACAAGTTAACAAAGGCCTACTATAATCTGGTATGTATTGTCTTTCTGTTGAGTCAGACAAGATAAAAGCCCCTGAGTTTATAGAGCTTGCATTATGGTGGCACTCAAATAGTGGTTACCGATTTCAGGAATGCTAAGGGCAGGTGAAGACCTACATCAGTTACTTGTAACAGGAAAGAACATAGTGGCAGATTATTGCAAGTTCTAACTCTGTGGCTCTGTAAAGGGAAAACTCGATCAGTTTCTGGTTATGCAATGGGGAAACTGGCATGTGGGCTCAGGGGCTTGAGCTGCAAGTGTTCAATAGACTCATTGGCCTCTGTAGGGAGCGGCATTATTCAAAACCCAGCTGCAGATCAAGAATGTTGCCTTTTTTGCCTTCATGTAATTGCCAAAGGCCTGTTGCCTCAGGTTGTAGCCCTGAGTTCATACAGTGAGTAGAAGCAGCTGTATCCACCTGCCTCCCACAGGCTTTTCCAAACAAGTCTGACCTCCTACCCAGTGGAAAGTCTGATTCACCTGTCTTCCTCCAGAAGCCATTTTAGGACATTTTTAAAGTGTTGGTAAGCTGGTTTTACTCACCCTCATAGAGGTTTGAACTTCCCTGTGGACAGCCAGGGTTTAAGGGCATTTCCTCCTCCAACTCCTTTCAAGTCACCTCTTCCATAGTCAAGGTGGCATAGGTACAGTGCTGCCACTGTTGGGGACACTCAAGGTCCTCTGGACCTACCTGGAGGGACCGCCAGGCTGGTGAGCAGCAGCATCCAGACCTTTTCTTGCAGAAAGCCTGTGCTGAGAGAACCTTTGTTGTAGGGAAACTCAGGCTGTTGTCTTTGTTTCAGTCCTGTCACTGTCCAGTTGCCTGTCTCTGGTTCAAAGAGAATCAATAGATCAGGGAGGGTTTCGGAAAGCATTACCACCTCCTTTTGCATTGTCTCAGAACAACTCTTTGCGATTGCCAAGGATATCTCCTGGCGTAACTGATTGCCCAAGCAGGTATTTTAACCTCTTTGGGTGGTGGTGGTGATGAACTTAAGAAGCAATAAATAAGGGCACACCTACTGTGTGTCAGACGCTGAGGCTGCAGGTAGACTTGAATAAAGCACCGCCATAGAGATAACTGAAACAGCCTAATCGCTTTGGGTATGAGTACACCTAAATTCCAGCTTCAAGACATTTTCTGGAGAGGGTCAAGCCATTGGGCATGTGAAAATCTTGGAACTTAGAGGTCAGTGCCATGGTGCAGCACATTAAACTGCCATTTGTGGTGCCAGCATCCCCTATGGGCATTGCTTTGAGTCCCAGCTGCTCTATTTCCATCCAGCTCCCTGCTGTTGTGCCTGTTGTGCCAGCAGAGGATGGCCCAAGTCTTTGGGTCTCTTCACACATATAGAAAACTCAGAAGTTCCTGGCTTCAGAGCAGCCCAACTCTGGCTATTGCTGCCATTTGGGGAGCAATGGATGGAAGATTTCTCTCTCTTTCTCCTCTTGAGTCACTCTATCTTCAAAATGAAAGTAAAATAATTCCTTTTTTAAAATCTTGAAATTTAAAAAATCCTGAAATTTGGAATGGACATGGATTTTTATTAAACATACACTTAAATTATCCTCAAACTTGAATTACCACAGGACAATAACAGTTCCTACCTCAAAAGGCCATAGACATGAAATACAGTAATAACATCTAATGCCCATTACTTGAATGGAAACAATCAATGCTAGACATTATTTATTAGTATTGCCTGTTACCTGTCTGCTCTTACGAGTTTCCCTTGCCTAAAAGGAACCTGATTTCCACATTTGGGAGTTGTCCAAATGTCAAGTATGCTGGAGGACAAGAAAGATTTTTTTTAAAGGGGGAACTATCACAAGACAACTTTAGGACATGTCAGAGTATAAATTCCTGATTATAAAGAGCAAGGGCTGTGTTGTACTCAAGGCTTAGCTGAAATTGAAGATTTAGAATGAAATTACACTGAGTCTTCAGTGTCAGGTTTCCTAAAAACTGAGGCCACAGGCCATGTAAGCCTGATGCGTGGTGGTGATATGGATAAATTAGCATTTAGAAAGATGAGTCCGATGGCAGTTCAAGATGGATTGGAAATAGTATTTACAGCTGTGAACCGTTTATTAGGCACAGTACCAGGCTTTGTGGTAAATGAAGCAGATAAAATCTGAGACCCAGTTGGTGATCGCAAGGGACTCACCAGTTAGATAACCACTGGGACATTTTCAATGTGATGGCATAAATAACTTGATGATAACTTTGAAAGGAATATGTATGGGAAAGAACTAGAAGCACTAAGTGACTAACTGCATGAGGGGTAAGGAAAGAAGAAACCAAAGGTTTAACTGAATCATGGATAGAAATAGGGTGTTGAAAGGATAGTTCCGGTTGAATTTGAGGGGGATGACAGCATCTAAGAGCTAGGAGTTCATTGTCAGTGAAAATATTTACACTTAGGAATGAGGTTAAGGCTAGAGCTAGCGAGAGGCTCGAGCTAGAGCTAGCTTTGAGAGAAGTTGACTGAGCAGTTGCAAAGAAAGCACAGGTCTAAATCATGAGGATGGATGAGAACTTTGAAGAGTAGAAAAGGTTGAAGGGATGAGGAGTACTGTTGGAGAGTGCTCATGTTTCAGAGTAGGAGGCAGAAAGAAGTAGAAGAATAGGAAAGGGAGAGCCAAAGAGAACCAGAGGACTGTGAAGCAGGAGTTGGATGACAGAGTAGTCAGAGTGCAGAATGCAGTAGGCAAGTCAGTCAGGAGGAGTCCAGGAAGCAAGGGAGAGAATGCAAGTCAGCCTGGACAAGAGAAGGTTAAACGAACTGTAATCATAGGGGACCAGGAAGCCTGAATGCTAGACCTTTCTCTGCTCTTGCTGGCTGCTCAGAGAGTGGCACCACTCTGACTCTGTCTCCTGGTCCATAACAATGGAGTGGGCCTGTGGAAGCCGAAAGGAGGTGACCTCATCGTATATGCTTTGAGTCAAGACGGCATCAGCCAGCAGGAGTGTTGCAAAAGGACTGAATCATGAGGGAAGGAGATTATCTCTCCAGGACCTGAGGCATCTGCTCATGTCTCCAGACAACCGCCCTTCTCCCTGTCCCATGGGGTGGCCCCGGGGGCTCTGAGGAACTTACCTGAAACATGAACAGAGAAGAAATGGCCCTGAAATTTCCTGTCTGGATTCTGGCTGCTGGCACAGCACTGATAGGTCCCACTGTCTGATGGCATGACCGGGTGTATGGTGAACACCAGCTGAGATGGCATTTCACTGCGATTACTTATTCCCAGCTCACGCGGAAGTCTTAGCTGCTGCAAGCTAGTCTCGGGGGAACAGTGCAATGACTTGTCTTTGCACAAAAACACTACGATGCCCTCAGCCTCTTCCTTCGTGTGCCACAGAGTGCAGATTAACTTCAGCTGCTTTCCTTCCTGTTCAGCTGAGGCGATGATATGTACACATCCTGGAAGGGGGAGGGAAGGAATTACCCATGGAGGAGTTCCCTGGCTCCCACCATCACTGCTCCTTGTCCCTTAGACATCTGCCATGAGGCTTGACAATGACTGGCCCACAGGAGACACAGATAATGGCTGCTGTTGACTGAGTGACTTAGGCAAGTTAGTGAATTCCCTTGGTAGTAACTGACTGACATGGAAAATGAGAGCTAAGGAGAGATAAGATCCTTAGCTTAGAACTTCGATTCATTCATAGATTTCTTTGTTCCTGCATCTATTTAACAAATACCTCCAGGCATGCACTCTATCAAGCATGTTGCTGGGACCATGATGAATAAGCCGTGAGCCACACTTCCGAAAAGCTTACAGCCTGGTGTAAAGACAGAGTGGCATGAACCTACAACCCATTTCAGTCACTATTAGTGGAGGACTCCTAAGGCTTAGTCTGTCTGGAAGAATCAGGAAAGCTTGACAGAGAGGTTACTGTGGGAGTTAAGACCTGAAAGATGAGTAAAATTTGTCAAAAGGGTGCGGACCCAGTGTGGTAGCGTAGCAGCTAAGTCCTCATCTTGCACATGCTGGGAGTCCATATGGGTGCAGGTTCTAATCCCAGCAACCCTGCTTCCCATCCAGCTCCCTGTTTGTGGCCTGGGAAAGCAGCTGAGGACAGCCCAAAGTCTTGGGACCCTGCACCCACGTGGGAGACCCAGAAGAAGCTCCTGGATCCTGGCTTCAGATTGGCTCAGCTCTGGCTGTTACAGACACTTGGGGAGTGAATTAACTGACAGAAGATCTTCCTCTCTGTCTCCTCTCTGTATATCTGACTTTATAATAAAAATAAATCTCTTTTAAAAATGAAAAGGGTGAGACACAGGATTTGCAAACATCAGAAAAGATTGAAAATGCTAATGTGAACTGGTATGGAAACAGGAGAAAAAGGCTGGTGAAGGACCATTCATCTCCAAAGCCCAGGACTCTTTGATGGTGCCGGTTAGCATTGTCTGAAAACATTCCATAGCCAGATGCAGAAGTGGTGTTCGCTTAACCACTGGGTGCCTTGGCCCTTCTGATACTCTGGTTCATTGATCCCCACCACCTCATTTGATTGTATAGTTCCTATTTTACGGTCCATGGCCATGCCCTCTCTCATCTCCATCCTTGGCTCCCTCAGCTCCACTCCATTAATCAACCTTGTTTAAATCCGACTGTCTGCTTAAAGCTTAGGAGATGGATGTTGAGGCAGGCTGAAAACCTATGACTTGTTTTCCCTTGAAAGACTCTGTCTGCCACACACAGTGCACTAGGGTCACTCATAGGAAATGTTTGCGGCAGAGACAGGGATGGCTCCCAGAGCCATTAAACAACCTCCGCTTGAACAAGTGGCTTGTGGCCTACACTCTGTGTGAGGGGGGCCTAGCCATTCATTCACTCAGAAATAGCTTACGTTTTATTGCTACTCTCCAAAGGAAACTTCTAAAGAAGGTCTTTTATTATTTTAGCAATAGAGGCAGGTATCCCTTCTTACATTTTATAAATAAACTGAGGCACAGAGAAGTTGGTTAAATGGATTGATAAAGCTGACAAAGACTAAAGTACCTGGATCTTGAACCTGAATTTCAAACAGTAGAGTAAAGGCTTGAAGGAATCTTAGGAGGAGGTCTGGGTTACCAGGGTCTTTGCATCCCCTAGCAGGGGCAGAATGTCAGAGCAATGGTAGTCATTTTAACAAAAACAAGGGATGCTAGTCTTTACTCTTTCATCGGCATTAAGAGTGGATTCTTTTCCTTCCCACTGAGAAAAAATCATGGGATCCCTCCCCGTGAGCCCGGGATGTTCTCTGATGGTACTCCCCTGGGTGCCATCCTCACCTCCGGGCTGTATGTCCACAGTTGCCAGCAGGATGGCCAGGATGTAGCAGGCTTTGCCAGGTGTCATTGGGATCCTGTACGTTGTCAGTAGCCCAAGGAACTCGAAGCAAATGTTGGCTCCACTGGTGTCCTTGACTTCACTGTCCTGATAGCACAGCAGGATGCACTGGACAAAGCTGTGCCAGGCTCCAGGACCATCTGCCTGTTCCAGGCACTGGTTCAGTTGGCCAAAGGATGATAGAATTGGAGGAGAACTTGGGTGTGAGAGTCCAGCTGGCTTGGAAGCTGACAGCAAATCAGGTGAGGTGTGCTGGGGAGAAAAGAGGCGATAGCAAGAGGTATAATAAACCGTGAAAGGTTCTGTTTTTATGTGATCGGTTTCTTAAATTGGATTGCTGGATCACAGAATGTGATCATTAAAATATTTCTGTACTATTGTCAGTTTCCTCTCTGAGAAGGTTTTGCTGACGTTCAAACGCTTACCAAGATTGCTTGCTACGCACCTTCACTTGTGCCCTTGTGAGTGCTGGATCTGAGCTGTGATTTGACATTTTTTGCCAGCCTGATAGATGAACATTTAGATCCCACTTGTCTAGTTTTGCGTTTCTTCCACTAGTGAGATTCAGAATCTTTTCATGTGTTCATTGGCCATTAGTATTTCATCTTCTACATTGCATGTTCATATTGTTTGCATTTTGAAAGAGAGAGAGGGCTCATCTGCTGGCTCACTCTCCAAATGCCTTCAACAGCCTTTGCTAAACCCAGGGAGCCAGGAGCACAACCCGGGTCTCCTTCATGGATGGCACAAACCTAATTAATAGAGCCATCACCTGCTGTCCCCCTGCCCAGAACATACGTCAGCATGAAGCTGGAATTGGAGTGGAGGCAGGGATTGAGTACAGGCAGTGACATACCAATTGGCATCTTAGTTACTAGGCTAAGCACCTGCCGCTGCATTTCCTTAAAATTAATTTATTTTTACTGGAAAGTCAGATATACAGAGAGAAGGAGAGAGAGAGAAAGGTCTTCTTCCACTGATTCACTCCCAAGTGGCTGCAATGGCCAGTGCTGAGTTGATACGAAGCCAGGAGTTTCTTCTGGGACTCCCACGCGGGTACAGGGTCCCAAGACTTTGGGCTGTCATCGACTGCTTTCCCAGGCCACAAGCAGGGAATTGGATGGGAAGCGGGGCCTTCAGGTCATGAACTGGTGCCCATATGGGCTCCCAGCAAATGCAAGGTGAGGACTTTAGCCACTAGGCTACCATGCCAGACCCCAACCCTAGCTTTTTTTGTTTGTTTGTTAAAATTTATTTATTTACTTATTATTATTACAAAGTCAGATATACAGAGAGGAGGAGAGACTGAGAGGAAGATCTTCTGTCCGATGATTCACTCCCCAAGTGAGCCACAACGGCCAGTACTGCAAGCTGATCCGAAGCTGGGAACGTGGAACCTCTTCCAGGTCTCCCACACGGGTGCAGGGCCCCAAGGCTTTGGGCCGTCCTCGACTGCTTTCCCGGGCCACAAGCAGGGAGCTGGATGGAAAGTGGGGCTGCTGGGATTAGAACTGGCACCCATATGGGAACCCAGTGCATGCAAGGCAAGGACTTTAGCCACTAGGCCAGGCCGCTGGGCCCTACCCTGGCATTTTAAAAACGTATCAACTCTTAGGAGCTTTCTAAATCAGAGATAGTAACCTAGCTGTCACTTTTTAAAAGAATTTTTATTTTAGTTTGATGTTGTTTACATAATTGACAAGAATGCAGGCCCATGAGGACCACTGGAGGATAGGGGGAGTCAAGGTTTGGGGGAAGTTGAGTGGGGCAATTGCTTCCAATTTTCCTTTTCTCTTGTACCTGAGGGTTGGGAGTGGAGAGGGAGGGGACTCTTTCCAGCTGCCAAACTACATCAGAACCCTCGGGATGAGAATGTCCGCTTGATATCATATTAGAAACCCTGATTTGGGCCTGGTGCTATGGCCTAGTGGCTAAGTCCTTACCTTGCATGCACCAGGATCCTATATGGGTGCCAGTTCATGTCCCAGTTGCTCCACTGGCCATTCAGCTCCCTGCTTGTGGCCTGGGAAAGCAGTAGGGGACCCCGCATCCACAAGGGACACCCAGAAGAAGCACCTGGCTCTTGGCTTAGGACTGGCTTAGCTCAGTGAAGCAGTGGATGGAATAACTTACTCACTGTCTCTTCTTCTCTTTGTAAATCTGCTTTTTCAATAAAAATAAAAACAAATCTTTAAAAAAAAAAAAAAGAAACCCAATGTGGAAAAGAATGTTCTGAGGATATTGCTTGAAAGGTTTTGGGAATTCTGAGATGATGTTCAGTTCATTGCTCCAAGGTTGAGAAAACCCTTCCAAGGCCCACTGGCTGGCAGAATCCACCCTAGTGCAACCACTGCCCAGACGCTTGCTGCTACAGCTCAGCCAGGAGAGCTGTCCAACCCAGTCTGCTCACCTTCTGACATGGCACTCGGCATAAGTAAAGGCCCTGCCTGCAACTCTGGCATCCCGTAGAGGTGTGGCTCAGGAACCCGGGCTCCTGCCACTGATTGGTTGAAACTCAGGTGAAAATCCTGGCTCCTGGCGTAGTTCTGTCGCAGTCCCACCTGCACCCACATGGGAGATCCGGAAGAAGCTCCTGACTCCTGGCTTCAGATTGGCTCAGATCCTTCTGCTGCGGCTCCTTAGGGAGTGAATCAGCGCATGGAAGAGCTTCCTCTCTGTCTCTCCTTCTCTCTGTATATCTGACTTTGCAATAAATAAAATAGATAAGTCTTTTTAAAAAAATGTTAAAATTTCTTTCATTCTCATCTCCTTATTTATGTGACCATTGTCTGTCAACACAAATATCTACTGAAAAATAGAAATATAATTGATATTGAAGCTTTGTAAACTTTAGTAAAAGTACATTGACCCAGTTACAGAATTAAGATTTTTAAAAGGCAATTTATCACTTTAAGGATGCACAGAAGGTTAAAGTATAATGTTTAATAATTGTCTGCTGAAATAGTTTGTTGGACGATCATGTGCTAATAAGAGTGCGTTTTAAAATATTGATAAGTTTGTTGCCAAAGTTTAATTTGTTGCCAAATTAAAAAAATTAGAAAACCTCTAATTTCAGTTTACTGCTTTCATTGAATAGATATATGTCTGGATAATTAAAAATATTCCCAATCGTAGAATAAATCACATTAGTTTGTGTGACAGATGAAATTTTAAAAGAAAAAATAATTCCAATTCAAATATATTAACCAAATATATAAATCAAAACAGGCCAAACTAATCAATGGAAGCACAGATTGAACTTCCTTGTTAAATGGAACTGGTTAAATCTGCTTGGGAAGCCTGCATCCCATACCACAGTATCCTGTTGAAGTCCTGGCTATTCCACTTCTTCTTCTTCTTTTTTTTTTTTAAGATTTATTTATTTTTATTGCAAAGTCAGATATACAGAGAGGAGGAGAGACAGAGAGGAAGATCCTCCGTCTGATGATTTATTCCCCAAGTGAGTGCAACGGCCGGTGCCATGCCGATCCGAAGCCAGGATCCAGGAGCTTCTTCTGGGTCTCCAATGCGGGTGCAGGGTCCCAAAGCTTTGGGCTTTCCTGGACTGCTTTCCCAGGCCACAAGCAGGGAGATGGATGGGAAGTGGGGCTGCTGGGATTAGAACTGTTGCCCATATGAGAGCCTGGCGCGTTCAAGGTGAAGACTTTAGCTGCTAGGCCACGCCACTGGGCCCCCTCCAGTTCGAATCCAGCTTCCTGCTAATGGGCAGCCTGGGAGGTGGCAAGTTATGCATCAGGAATTTCAATCCCAGCAGCCACAGGAGAAATCTAGAATGAGTTCTAGTCTCCTGGTTTTGGCCAGGCCCAGTTCTGGCTGTGGCAGGCATTTAGGGAATGATCTTCGTTTCTGCCTCTGCCTTTCAAATAAAAAAAGAAAAGAAAGTCAATTGTAAGAATGGATTTAAGGAAATCTGCTATATACACACAGCATATGCACATACTCACATATGTTTGAAATATTAGTATGTAAGGGTTAAAAATTGAGGAATGGGAAAAGATGAATTTAATATTAAGCAAAACAAAGCTGGCATACCTTTGTTAATATCAGACAAAAAGAAAAACATCTTTTTGGCAGAAAAGATTTCTAAGAAGTAATAAAAGATTCAATTAACCGAGACAATATAGTTATAATCTCGTATATGTTAAGTGAAAAAAAACTATGTAAGTCAAAAATTGAAAAAAAAAATGTGGTAAGGAACGGAAACCACGGGAAAATCCACAGTAATAACTTCTTTCTCAATTACTGGCAAATCAAGCAGATGCACACACAAGGGGGGAGAGGCTTACAGAACAGACAAATTAACCTCACCAACACACGGACATGTATGGAGAACACAGACTCCTTTCAAACAAATGTGGAAAATTATAAACTAGATCAGGACTAGCCAATCAAGCATGTCTGAAAGAACCCGTTCCTGAGGGCCCCATTCTCTGCCATTACGCAGTTAGCTTAGACGCCAACAACAGACACGTCAAAATCCCATTTTCCATAAGCTGCTTCCTCGCTGCCCATCACTCGTCAGCGGCTGGTGCAGGGGAGGGCGCATGAGTTAGACTGCACTTCCTTGGTGCCCACATGGACAGCACGTGGGCACCTACAAGTGGAGAATACATCTGAGAAAGCTACCACCTACCACCTCCCACCATCTTTGATAGAAATTATTGAAGGGGCGAGGAGCGCTACTGAGCCCAAAGGATGATGATATTGAAATACAAGACACGCGAGCTGCTGAAGAAGGTCGGGAAAGTGGGAAAAAAATGAAAAGGAAATTGGTTTGACACTTGACATTTTTTTCTTTAGAGCCAGTTATACTGTTAGATTTAATTGTAGATTATGTTAACATAACTTTAAGATTGTTGGTGCCTTTTTATTTGGTTTTCAACTTACAGAATAAAGCTAAAGGCATAACGTGGATCACTTCAATAGTGTTGTAGCACAAATACATGACAATGAACAAATGTAAACATACCTGGAAAGGTTCAGGGAATTAGAGTCTGAGGACAGGACGAGACAAGCCTAATTGTGATTTCCCCAGTTTTCAGAGGACAGTAAAAATCGTGCAGAACCTACTTGTAAAAATCATAGCAAGCAATAAAGGTGTGTGTGTTCTCTTTTTCCCATGCAGCTTCCTGCTTGTGGCCTGGGAAAGCAGTCGAGGACAGCCCAAAGCCTTAGGATCCTGCACCCGTGTGGGAGACCTGGAAGAGGCTCCTGGCTTCTGATTGGCTCAGCTCCAGCTCTTGTGGCCGCTTGGGGAGTGAATTAGTGGACAGAAGATCTTCCTCTCTGTCTCTGCTCCTCTCTGTATATCTGTGTTTCCAATAAAAATAAATAAATCTTAAAAAAAAAAAGTGGCAAGCTATGGGAGGGTCCCTGCAGTGCGAGGGAGGGGTGAGGGGATACAGTGTCTATTTCTTCTGCATATTATATACTTAATGCACACTGTACTCCAGTGTATGACTCTTCTGACTACTCAATATCGTATCTTTTTTTTTAAAGATTTATTTATTATTTTGTTTGGAAAGGCAGATGTACAGACAGGGGAAGAGACAGAGAGGAAGATCTTCTGTCCGATGGTTCACTCCCCAAGCGGCCACAAGAGCTGGAGCTGAGCCAATCTGAAGCCAGGAGCCTCTTCTGGGTCTCCCACGCAGGTGCAGGGTCCCAAGGCTTTGGACCGTCCTCAACTGCTTTCCCAGACCACAAGCAGGGAGCTGGATGGGAAGTGGAGTCACTGGGATTAGAACCGCCGCCCATATGGGAATCCCAGCATGTTCAAGACGAGGACTTTAACCACTATGCTATCGCGCCAGGCCCTCAAAATCATATCTTAGTAAAATCAGTCCCATCTTCCTTTTTAAAAAAAAGATTTAATTATTTTTTTATTGAAAAGGCAGATTTGCAGAGAAAGAGAGAGAGAGAGAGATCTTCCATCTGCTGGTTCACTCCCAGTGACCTCAATGGCTGGAGCAGAGCCAATCCTAGGCTAGGAGCTTGAAGTTTCCAGGTCTGCACATGCAGGTTCGCTAGGGCTTGGGTCATCCTCTGGTGTTCTCCCAGGCCATGAGCAGGAAGCTGGGCAGGAAGTGAAGTAGTCGGGATTAGATCTGGCACCCATATGAGATGCTGGGCAGAGGCTTAGCCTGCTATGCCATCACACTGGCTCCCACTCCCATCTTTTATTGCCACCTTTCTTCTGTTAAGAGCAGGGGCTGGTGTCATGACATAGTGGAGCTAAGCCGCTGCCTGCAGCCCAGGCATCTTGTATAGGCACCACTTTGTGTCCCTGACTGCTCTTCTTCTGATGATGCCCCTGCTTAGGGGCTGCGAGGACAGTGGGGCATGACCCAAGTGTTTGGGCCCCTGCACCTTCATGGGAGAGCTGAAAGAAGCTCCTGGCTCCTAGTTTCAGATCAGCCCAGCTCCAGCCGTTACAGCCTTTTGGGGAGTGAACCAGCAGGTTGAAGACTGCCCCTTCTCTCTTTTTCTCTCTTTATTTGTAACTCTGCCTTTTAAATAAAAGAGGGAGAGGAAGACAAAGAGAAGGCAGAGTCCTGATTGTTTTGAGGGGTGGGGGGAAGACCCAAATGGGCGGAGACAGCTTCTCCCCACTGTCTGCAAGTTGGGCTTGGGCTAGTTAGATGTTCCCAGGGGAATATCGGTTCTGAGGGCACAGTGAAACCTGAGGGGACAGTGTGGAAACAGCCCCCTGCAGGATTCCTTCATACTCTCGCACCTGTTTGATACCCTGGCTCCATCCCTGTGCTGCAGCCAAAGGAAGATACGGGTCATCCAAACACGAGCTGCTCTGCAACTGCACAAACCTGCCCACGGTCTTTGCTCCTGAGTGTCTTCATTTTTGCTGTGCCAGATAAACTATCATCCCGTACACTCTAGTCAATTGTCCTACTGGAGGGCAAAACCACAATAAAATAGGAAGGAAATGAAAGCCAGGAATAGAAAGAAAAAATAATGATAAAGTTAAGTATAATAAAAATCTATGAGCTATTTTTTTTGTATTATTCAGCGCTAAAACTTAGAAAAGCTAGCCAAAATAAACAGCTTTCTATGGGAATACCAGTGACCAAAATGGACTCAAAGAAAGAAACTGAAAAAGGCAATAACCACAGAGTAACCTCTTCTACTTCTTTCCTTTCTTTTCTTCTTATCTTCTCCCTTTTTCAGATTTATTTATTTGAAATACAGAGGAAGTTTAAGAGGGAGGGAGAGAGTTCCTTCATGCTCTGGTTGAACCCCACAAATGCTACAACAGCCAGGGCTGCACCAGGCAGAAGCCAGGAACCAAGAACTTCACCTTGGCCCGTGCATATTCCCAGGCATGTTAGCAGGGAGCTGGACTGGAAGCAGAATAGCCAGCACTCGGATCAGCGTTCTGATGCGGCAGGCCAGTGAAAGCTGCCGTGTAACAATGTCAAGGTCCCACAGGAATCCATTCCGATGATGCCGCGGCACCTTACTCACCTTGTGCCCACCTCCACTTTTTAAATGTGCCATCACCTTTTCATACTGCCACATTGGGGACCAGGCTTCTGACACATGTGCCCACGGGGGACAAACCACATCCAAGCAGGTCCCAGGGCCTTCCCTAGCCCCCCTCTCCTGCTCCCGGTCCTCTGCTGTCACACCCTCAAGCAGCACTATTCTCCAACAAAATGTCCTGGTAACTCCTGCACCCATACACTGAATCTTAAGTGACTTGTTTCATGTCTAGCTACAAGGCATTCTTTGATTTGAAGAGAAAGCTAAGGACTGCCGTGATTCATTCAGCCCAAGGTCATGGTTGAAAAGCCCAGATTGTAGGCCCAGTCTGTTTATGTCCAATGCTAGTCCTAAGAACAGTCATGTGACTTGGCTCCCAGGTCAGATGCAAAATTCAACCTTCGATAAAATGGGCACATCCTGCCAGCACTTTGTGAGCATCTATGCGGGACTGGGCACGCAGGGGCACTGACCTCTGGATCCCCTGCGTAGTGGACCAGGGCTGGAGTTTAGTTTTGATGAGACACTGTGTTGTTGTTTAATCTGTCGTCCTTACTAAGAGGCTAGGAGAGACCTTGTGATTTACAGAAACCACGGCTGTCCTGTACAGCAGCTTGAATGCTAAGAGAGGTTAGGCTAGTTTTGATTTCGGAGTTTTGTGCCTCTCCTTGCAGCTGCCAGGAAAGGACTCAATAAAACAGAGTAAGGTCGCAGAGCACAAACCCAAAGACCCGGAAGGGGGGGGATTCTTGGTGGAGGGGTGTGGCAAGGCTGCCAGGAGCTGCTGCCTTGCAGGGGTTCGGTGGGTAAAGTAAGGCGGGGAATGGGACATCTGGCTTCCAGGCTTGGCTGGGCTCTGGTTAGCTGTGAGTCAATTAAAAGGTCAAGTCCCTCCTCCAGGCAAGCTTCCCGAGAGACTGGTGCAGAGGGCTGGGAGGGGCGCGGGCTGGGAACTGTTTCCAAGCACTCGCGGGAGCTGGCTCGCAGGCTCCAAGGCGGCAGGACCCTCGGCGGGGCGCAATAGGAGTGGAGAGAGTGTAAGTGGCCGTGGGTCCCTCTCTGTGCGGGGCCGGGATGCGCTGGGAAGAAGTGACCTTGGTGCCCGGGATGGTGAGCACACCTCGGAGTGGGGCGGGCCGCGGCTTCTGCACCCTGACCGCTAGAGGGCGCTGCCTTCCAGCTGCAGCCGGGACGGCCCAGCAGGTGCTTGGCGCCGGGTCCGCCAGGTCTTTGCCTCCCAGAGCCGCGGGGCGCATCGGGAGCGAGTGAGTGGGTGGGTGGGTGAGTGAATGAGTGAGTGTGTGTGTGTGTGTGTGTGCGCGCGCATGCAAGATTGGATTAGTACAGGGGATGCAGCCTGTACTAGGGAGGGAACCAGCTTCCTAAAGTGGGAAAAGGGTAAGGAGTCTGGGAACTTTCTGGGCCTGCTGCAGGTCAGAGGCGTGTCTGCTTCCCTTTCTCCTCCCAGGGGCGGTCCAGGATAAGGGTGCAGTTCAAGGTGCGGGCTCCTTTCTTGCAGTCTTCCCTGGGGCTCTTAAACTGCTTAGTTGCATGGGGGTAGGGTGAAGGAGCTGTGGACTCAGAACCGGGAGGCAGCACCCACTCTCTTAATTAGGTAGGGGGTGAGGCAGCTCTGGTTGTAGACTCCCTGGCTTCTGTGACCTTGCCCAGGGTACTTAACCATTGCCCAGCATGGTGCTCCTCTTGTGTTGGAAGCTCCCTTGGGGACCTGCTGGGATGGTTACAGTGAAATGACATACTGAAATTTGTGCAGTGTGTGGACTGTCTGATGACTTGGAGAGAGCCTCTTGGAGAAGTTGGGGGTCAGTGCCCAGCTCTAAGACCTCTGCACCCAGATTCCATGCCCCAGGTCTGGAGAAATCTTATTTGGGGCTGTGAAGGGGTGCACCCCATCTCCACATTTCCCAACCTGCACAACTCAAGCGGAACCAGATTTGTGAGTCAAACAGCGTTGGTCCCGGCCCCTCTCAGAAACTGGAGCCAGGCTTGCTCGTCGGAAGCCCCCTTGAGTGATCTGTTGAAACCTGTAGAGTCCCTTGTCCAAATACCATCTGAAGCTCAACGAGCTGAAACATGTGGGGCAGCAGAAGAAGCCACCGTAGGAGACTCCGGAGAGTGCCTGAGGCCCCTTGTTAGCCCGTGACCACTGTGGGATCACAGGGCTGACGATGCCAGGCCACCTCTGCTCGAAGGAGGTTTGACAATCTCGCTGATTTTTCTCCATGGCACATCCCACTCTGGTTTCTGGCCACTGCTGCCTCTCTAGTAGAGACAGGTAAAAGTACAGATGTATTTCTCCATTCTGTTCCCCTCTTCACGAAGCCCACGAATGAATACATTCATGAGGAACAATGAGTGAATTATTCCCTGTCATGAACCCTGCGGACCAGGCCCCTTAGGTGGCAACTGGCCGGGGGGGGGGGGGGGGGGGGGGGAAGGGGGCAAGCAGTTCTCCTGCTTCATGGAGGGAAGGTCTCCCCACTTTGCAGCACGGGGTCGGGGGGAATTATTGTTGAGCAAATGCATTTTCTCTGCCCTGGGGTTTCCTAGATTTATACTGCCAGATAGCTGGCAGTAGCTGGGGCCGCCTTTGCTGTAGCCACAGAGCCCGGGAGCTGAGACATGAGCTTTGCTTAGGGGCTCCACGGGACAGCCCCAAACTTTGGGGGAGCATTCCGCCAAGGCCTGGCCTAGCTCAGATCTTGAGTGCTCCAGCCGAGGGGTGGGTCAGATCTTGGCACCTGCCCTCAGCTGTCCTTTACTGTTGATCTCCTTTGTTACAGAGCTGAGCCTTGGTCATCCACCCACCCTACTCCTGGAGGAGGTAGAACACACCTGCTTCTCTCCCCTGAACACAGCCTGCCTCTTTACTTCTGGGGAGCCTTAGGATGGGTCTGAACCCGGGCAAAGAGCTCACCACGTGTTGCTACCCAGCACAAGTGGCACTCCTCTTCCCAGGGGGGCCGAGAGCATTTCTCAGGAACTCACAGAGGCCACCCCTCAGCCCAGACCTCAGGTCCCCCACCCCAGACCTCTTTACCTCAGAAGGGAGTCTTCCTCCTCCTCTTCTCAGCCGGGCCCCCACGCTGGATGAGCTCTGGCCCATCGACTATGCTTTGGTCTTTTAAACCCCTGTCTCCCCACTTCCGCCATCACCCAGGCCTTCATTCTTGTCACCTTTAGCCTCTGAAAACCACAGAGAGGGGTTTTATCACTCAGTGGCCTTCCTTCCTCTTTTTCCTCCACCCCCACAGAGGACACTCCTATTACCTCTGGCTCTGCCCGGTTCTCCAAGTGGTTCTGAGAAGAAGCACCCCTTGAACTTACCTTTTGTACCTTGAGGCATGGAGAGTTTCCTCTTGATAATCCCAAATACATGAGGACCGCTAATAGAGTAACTAGGGCCTAAAAGAGCCGAGGAGGGAAGCCACCCAGGGGCCCATGAAAGAGGCAGGAGTGAGGGCGAGCTGGGGACACACTCAGGGGTCCTATGTGGAGGGGAGAGGGTGGCTGACCTCATGTTCCCAGCTGTTTCTGCTCTCCCCTTCTCCTGGGCCTGGTAGTCCCTGCTGGCTGGAGGGACCACCATGCCTGCTTGCACACTGCAGGGCCTTGCACTTGGAGGGCCTTAGCACAAGGCTCAGGGCCGAGGAGCAGTGGACTGCCACAGCAGCTCCTGGGATGGGAGCAGGGGTGGGGGCTGGGGGGTTGGGTGAGTGGTGGTGCTGGGAACTCACCCCTGCAGTTGCTCTTCCGTCCTGCTGCTCAGCGGCGTGCCCTGGGGTCTGACATCAGATGTGCCTCCCTAGCCACTGGCAGACTGCAAGGACAGCAGGCAACTCTTGTTGGGAAGGGGTCTCTCACACCACTGGTGTGTCCCCTCATTACCAGCCTGGTCACAGAACCTTGAAGCTCGGCCCCGCAGACATAGCTGTTAGCGAGAGCCTGGGAACCGCTGTCCCTTGATCCTAATTTGCTCTTTCTGTGATAGTGGTTAAGCTGTTGTGTGGTGTTGTGCCGGATTTTGAAATCCCCAGAAAATCATCAAGTCTGAAGTCGGTGCTAAGGCATAAAGATGGTTTATTCAGGTTAGCTGAGGTCTCCCAGCCACCCGCCTCCCAGCCTAGCAGGGCTGGAGGGTGAGGGGCCGCCGCAGCTGAGGCTGCTGCAGGAACAGCAGGGCAGGAAAAAGAGAGTGAGAGACTAGCACAGGGTTCTTATACATTTCAGGCTATTAATTATACAGTCATGATTTAGCAGGCTTCTATTGGTGGGTTTGAAGCAAGCAACTTTCAAAAGGTACAGATTGATGAGCTATAGGGCAGTAGATCTTGTCAAACAGCAGGTACCTCCTTCCTGAGGGGTGGTCTGCCTAGTGACCTGCCAGGCGTCCTGCCGGGTGTCACTTACGTAGACTATCAGACTGTCAGGCCTAGAGTTCAGATAGCTCCCAGCCAAGCAATTAAGACAGAATCACAAAAGCAGAAAGCATCTAGGTTCTTCAAAGCATGCACTAGCTCTGTTTCCTACAAAGGAGACCTGCTCCTTCTTATCTTGGAGGCTCCCTGGAAGGGTGGCTGGAAGGTCGCTCTGCATGCCGCCAGCCAGGGCCTGGAAAACCATGATCACTCAGGAACGTGCTTGAGGATGACCACAGGGCTGTGGCTGGGTGGGGCGGGGCCCCTCCAGCATGTGCAGATGTGCGCACTCGTGAGCTAGTGAATATCAACACCTTGACTTTCTTCTGAAGAGACCTCTGAGCTGGAAAATGATTCACAGCGGGCTTCCTGTCGGCCCCCTCTATGCGGTGTCTGTCCAAACCACAGGCAGCTACACGGGTGGCTTTTTTCATGGGGCTGTGCAGGCTTGCTCCTCTCTGGGCATGATGTCTGCTCGGGTACCTGCATAAGACTGGCAGAATGCACCACGTACTGTGGGCACCTGTAGGTGAGAGGGCACCGAGGAAGCAGGGGTGGAAGGGAGACTTCCTGGGTGCAGTGATAGTTAGACAGTGC